GCTAACAATACCTTTGTAACTTAGGGACCGGTCATTATTTATGGCGGGGTGTGGCACCGAAGAGAAAAGGGTTGGGTAAACAAAATTTTGAGTAAGTAAAAGGTCAAGTAAATGAAAAACAAAACAACTCAAGGGTTGGGTAATAAAAAATTTATTGTCATTTCCAAAGCATGACTCACTGAACAGGTAGGCAATTTGTCGACGCTGACCAAAAATAGCGGCTCATTTCTTCTTGAGTTTCCATTTTCGCGTCGAAGAGCAAAAATATAGACTTTCAGAGAATATTTTAGCTGTTTACTATCAAATATGTTTGTGAAACAGTTGATAATCTCACTGAGGAAAGCCAACGGTTTCTGAAAAGCTAAAGTACGTCGAAATCAGCTTTGGAATAGACTATATTTTCACCGGGGAAACATGAACAAAATGGATATTTACATCAACACTAAATTTTGCTCATGCCTACAGAGCTAGTTGGATTAAAACAGATGTTAATTTAAGAAGTAAGTGAAATTGTGAAATTTGTGAATTATACTTTCATTAAAATGTTTCGGAAGGTCTGCTAATGTCAAACTACACGTGTGACAGAGCTGTCAGTATACCCATATTTCAATGTTTATGTTGAAATGACCTATCTTCTTTGAGGTATAGCTTAAAATTTAGGGTATGCTCATCACTTGAAACTAGCTTCAAATCTAAGTTTTATGTATAGTCTTTATATTAGAATTAAAATCATTCATGGGAAAAATGTGCCAAAGGGTTGAAATTGCCCCTGTAAATGTACACTATTTTTGACATGCTTGGGTTAGTATTTTGAAAAGGTGTTCTGGAAGGAAAATATGTCTTGAACAATACTGGTTGAGCCTTAAATTATAACTAGTGTTATGTAAATCACAGAAAATTGAAAAAAATCTGGTCCATACACAATATTTTGGACCCTATGAGGTCCCGAATGGGGCTTATTTCAATGTTGGATCTGTTTACCTGGAAAAGTCAAGAATTTGACTATGCTCATCACCCAAAACCAGGTTTTTCTAATTGCTTTTTCACCTGGGTTTGTGGCAATGCCAGTTATGCGACCACGAAAAATGCACGCGGCACTTCTTTTGGACACTGAAGAGGGTAACATTTGATGTTGTCATATATTGCCATCGTAGCATAACTTAACTTATTTTAGTGAATTTGTTAAAGAGTTGTGTTCACTATATGCTTGTAATATCGAAGATTTTTTCATAGCATTATATGATAAATTTAAGTTCTGTTTTCTTTTATTTTTAGGTGATAGTATCTATTCACTCCAATGTTGGTATCAAATTTTGGTCAAGTTTCAATTATTATTTCACATTTCTTTATTCAAATATCCAAATAAATGGAATATGACATCAAGCTGGAGGACTAGATCCTGTTTTCAAACTTGTTTTTTTGTAGAAATAGAAAATAACAACTTATTCTGTGTTGTTCTATAAATAAAAACCATTGTTTTTGATATGCATATATTTTAATTTTATTCTTTGTTAAAATGTGTACCTGAAATACTGAAATCTTTCAGATCAGCTAACAATACCTTTATAACTTATATAGCCAAGTGTTCTATTTATTTTTGTTCAGATTAAACAAATAATGGGTAAAATATTAGATAAGATTTTTTCCAAAAATATGAGCTTGCCTGTTTTCAAAGCATAAAAAGCAATAAAATAAAGCAAAAATACTTATTTTTAATTTAAAACCTTTGGAATACACAGCTTAATGCTTTCCACTAAATATTACAAAGTTTTCGTTCATTAAAATGTTGTTTTATCAGCTTTAAAACCAGATAAATCCACGAAACACTCCTAATATACGTCGCCATATTGATTTTCTGCGCGCATGCTCAGACAAATTGCCTACCTGTTGACTCACTGAAGTATTGGGGACTAAAAAGCAATGGCAACAGTAGCTAGCCCTACTCTGAGGCGGTAACAAGATAATGCGAGTTTAAGCAATTTTAGGTGATTTAAGCAAAATCTGCAACTTTAAAGCAATGTCAGTTTGAGCGATATAGGGCGATTTAAGAAAAAAATTAAATTTTAGGGAATGCAGTTTAATGGAAGGTAATTTCGGAAATATACAACTATATCCCCCTGATGACTACAGTGAAATTATTACCATTAACCCATGCCAAGCATTCAAACATGTGTGTTCCCACAAGCACACCCATGCAATGTATGAAGCAAAATATACTTAATGGAAGTATGGAACATGCACATTTAATATAAAGTTAGGTTGTATTTAACCTTAATTGGGAATTTGACAAGAAAAGTTGAAGTCTGCTTGAGGGGGTTCTGGAAACAAACAATACACTGTATGCGCATGATGATCAAGTGTTTAAAGGGTAAATAAGCTCAATATTCATCCATTGTCTATTTCGAAGCCTTGGGGTATAAATTCATGACACCACTATAATACATGACCACATCATATGCAATTGCAAACAATTTTCAAGGGGGGGGGGTGCATGTACAGAATTGCAATAGCAACATATGAGTAAATTACATGCACATGAACTTACCAGTTTGTGTTGAGTTAAATTTAAAAATTTTCATGACATCAAATATTATTTATTTATTTGCAAATCAAAACATTTTAAAATCCTCATGTTTTGTATTGCGCCCGCGATATATTAATGGTCTTAACCGCTGTGAATAAAATAGTTCATTCAGTGAACAGGGAAGAAGAATTCAGTGATATTATACACATTTTTACATATGCATTGTGCTCAAACGTTCAGGAAGTGAGTTTCTAGAAAGGTTGAAAACTCCGTTTTATGTATGATATGTAAAAGTAATAGTTGTTTACCGTTTATTTTATATTCAGGTATGGGGAATTTAAGCGATGCATGAGAGCTAGTTGCAAAACTTGCAGTGTAGTCTCATCGACGTCATGGTGCAACTATTAATATTGTGCTACATTCATTATTCAAGGCTTCTATAAACGATACAAATGATTATAGCTTGCATATAATGAATTAATATAACTAACCTGATTGAGTATGTCGAGTATGGCATTAGCAGAAATATGGGACAAGATGGAGACGGACATGCGCACATTGCCCCAATATGGCGACTAAATATTACTATAAACTATACAGGGATTTACAAAAATGTCAAATTTTAACCTACTTTGTTTAGATATCTCATGGTTGCGGACTTCGATAATAACAACAGCACGAACAAGCAGTATTTGTAAACCAAAATCGCTAGCATTTCTACACGTCTAAGTGGTTCCCGTGATCGGTGTATTTTCACTAGAAATTCGAAGTATTTGATAGTGTAATCTATAGTAATCTTGCCATACATGAGGTAAAACTCCGCCGAATAGACCAACATTCTTTCGCGCGATGTAAACTGCGGACTTCGCGATGTATTTAGCGATGTTCAAACTGTCAGTATAGCTTAACATATCCCAGGTTATTCTGCGCCAAACCGGTTCCAAAATCGTTTAAAACTTTGCCTTTTTATGAGTCTTGCTTATCGCCATTAGGTTATATTTATAGTCGAAAACGAGAAGTCTAAATACAAATTTAGGCTCCTTCGAGCAGCCATGTTTCTTGTTTACTAGCAAAGCTTGTACCCAGTCCCTCACTTAAGAAAAACAGAGAGATTTGCGAGATTTTGTAGCTCGATTTCGTGTTGATATAGCAATTTGCGTGCGGATATTTCGCGGGTTATTTAAAATCTCTTTCGCGGTTAAGTCAAAATGTCGGAAGTGCTCGAAGAATACAGCAAAAGAAAGTTAGATTGGAAATTGAAAGTAAGTTCTGAAGCTCCTCTTACTTATGTTAGGCAACAAGTGGACTTATTTAACAAGATTCTCTTTTGTGTGGAGATTCCATGGCCACTGCTTAATGTATGGAAAAATATTCGCGAAACAACTTCCTGTGAAAATGTAAATTATGTTGACTTATTTAATTTAACTGTGCCAGACAAATGGTTTGCTTTAAAACCCGGTAACCAACGTATCGAAGAACTACTTCGTAAGGAATGGCACACGTCCTTTGCCTTTGGCAGTTCGAGTCGCCATTTTGATTTTTCAAGCGATTAGCCGCTGCCTACAAACGCGGGCGCAAAATGTCCCATATTTCTGGTAATGGGACCTATGGACTATGGAGTATGGGTCTTTTAGATCCTGGAGTAGCACAATTAATATAAAGTCTCCATAAGGTGGTGATAAGATTGTTCTTTAATATATAAATATTTATGCATGACTGTTGACTATTAAGTGGCCAAAAGTTGTGCCTACTGAACTTATTCCACTTTCCAGGTTGCATCACTTTTGATTGCAAAACACAGGTGTACATGGATTTGCTAGCAAAATAGCAGCAATTAATGAACTTGGTGTTATACTATCAAAGATTTACTAAATGCATGTGTAAAAAAAACATCGAAAAGTGTATGTGTATATATATATATATATATATATATATATATATATATATATATATATATATATATATATATATATATATATATATATATATATAGAGTGTA